TGTATATTATGTATATATATCTCCGTGGTCACACACGAGCCCCACGCACGTCCTCTGCAGCACCACCCGACCGCCCAACGCTAACAAATGGCCCCGGACCTGCATATACATTCCCTATATATATATAAATGTGTGTATGTGTGTGTGTGTGTGTGTGTGTGTGTATTCCATTACATTGCACCGTCAGAACCACTGTTGAACACACACACACTGGCACGCGCCCCCTCCCCAATACGCGGGGTAGGTTATTAATGCGTTTTTTTTTTCATCTTATTCGCCACGTCTTCCCCGTGTAAGTCTCGTACGACGGCCGAAACGTAATTTTCGACGCTCCTAGAAAATTCCGGACAGAAAAATAAACGACATGGGAGGGATTCGGCCAGCGGGTTGGTGAGGGGTGGGCGTACCACTAATAAACGCGTAGGATGTACTTCTGCAGTGTTATACTCGTATATATATATATATATATACTTCGCGTTCCGAAACGTTCATAACTCGTCCGGTTAACTTGTACGCAATTTATATTTGTTTGTTTTTTTTTTTTTTTACCAAACGGTTTGTGTATTATATATTAAATATTTATAATATGTTCACCGTTCTGGAATTCGGTTCGGAGGCAAAACGCATTCTTGGGGTCGAGCTAATAAACTTTTTCATATTGACACTATATACACAATTCGCCTACCACCAACGCCAATTTGTATTTTCTCATTCATGTTTCGCTCTGTTTTTACAACACCGTCGTCTAACACACGTTTTTACGGCAATATAAAATATATTACAGGCTGGAGACACTCGAACTAGGCAGTAAATATAAAAACGATTTGTAGACAAAATTATAGTGGTTGAAAACTAGGTATTAAAAACATTAAACTAGGTATATGGAGTATGCATATAATATCTTTATTTGCCTATTGGCTATTACAATTAGTTATTAAATTCCTAGAGTTTACTTATTACATTCAATTATAACATTACAGTATACTACAATGTACTATTATATTATAGAGGTATATTATAGTTTATAATAATGTAATAATATGCTAATGAGGATTTCATCGGAATTTGCAGACGTCTGCGTTACGACTTGGACACTTATGGACTATTTCAAAACTTGACCACCTTAATTATTATTATTATTATTATATTTTAATAATACGATTAATACGCGTTTTGAAATTCCTATATATATATAGGTATACTACTATACACCGTCGCTGCAGCAATGTCTCGCACTTGTTGCGACAGACCCCTTTCGAGCCGCATACGAACATATATTATGGGGTCCGACAATTAATCGCGCTTTAAGTGACCGGCACAACTACGCAAGCGATTATTATTATTATTATTATTATATATACGAAAGGGTTACGTTCACTGTATAATAATAATGATAATATAATACAAGGGTCGTCGTCATGGATATAATAAAGCCGTCCATCACGTCATCGTCCTAGTCCACCGCCGCGTGTATAATTCGACGTCTGTATTATTTATAACAAGGGTTTCATACCGCACAGCACCTCACATCTCACACCTGGAATGATGATAATGATGACGATGACCATTATATTATTCTGTTCGAACACTGCTATATAATAATTAAGTCTACAGGCCGACAAGTGAATAATATAATAATATTATACGCTAGTAAGGTATTTATGATCCTTGAGGTACCTAAGACCGATTTTTAATATATTCGTACTAAAATGTAGGTCACGTGTGGGTCAACGGTTATGATATATCTGCAAAATGCATTCGGTTATCGGGTTCTTGTACTGGCGAATTTCAGTTCGACAGAATTAAAATATTAATGTACGTGACTTAATTTCTAGACAGGAAATTAAATTATTATTAAAGCTCTATGTAATATTTTATGTTGTACAACTTCTCCTCGACAACTACTACGTAAGTACGTTAATATTAAATATAGTTATAACTTACATTATTCGGCGCAAACTAGATTATAAGACCATAGTTGCTACAATGCTACGTCAGTAAGTTTCCAACTAAAATTATATTTGTGGGACATTTTGTAGAGATAAAATTAATTTGAAATATTCTCAAAATATCATGTAACTGCGTCCCACACGTGTTCTGAAAGCAACTAAGTTACAATAGTATCTTTTGCTATGATTTTTATTTTTTAACTCAGTAGGTATACAACAAATTACTATCAAGGTACCGCATGATAAATTGCTTTCGTTTTCTACATTTATATTTTAATAAAACTGATTTGATATTCTGAAATTGCAAATCTGTCAACGACAACACTTTTTACCTAATCAAATCACTTCTGAAGATAATATATTGAAAAAATATACTAGTAATAATCAAAACTTTTGTGTAGTAAGTATATCAATACGAAAATACGATATGAAATTGTATATTTATCTCTTTGAACATCTTGCGTTGTTTTTTTTTGTTTCAATAATTATGGTAATATGGAATGTGTTATTATTATTTAAAACCAGCGACTGTACTGTATACTGCAGAGCACACATGTATACACGGATGTAAATTGGAGATATATAATATTATAGTCACAATAAAATTGGATCAACGAGATTTCATCTCGGGATGTGTACTTATAAAAAGTTATTTAAAGAAAATAATATTAGACTAACGTTTTCTAGGGACGAAAACAAAACATCAATGAAGGTAGTTTTAGATTATTCGCCTCGCCTGTATAAGCTTATATGAACATTTTATAGGTACCTCTGATGAAAAACATTGTACGAAAATTAAATGTACGATGAAATTGTATGAATATTTTTTTATTTCTTTTAAACGCACGATATTGTATTTTATTTTATATTATAGGTTATAGATACACGAGTTTGAATTATAATTGAAAATAAATGAAAGCCTAGTCTGGCAACCCTGCAGTTGGAGGTCACTGAAACTTTACACTCATAAAGTTAAAAGCACAGCCATATCACACACATCATATGAAATATATCTATATCAAACCTAAATATAGATCCAACAAAGGAACACTGAACATAGAGAAGTAGAACGAAGTACCACACTCAGAAATAAGGGAAATGTAACTAGTAGGGTTTCTAAAAATTCAGAAACTAAACTGAGCAGAACATGTATGGAAAGCAGAGGACATCACGGTTGACAACTTCACAAGGTCACAATGTGGAAGCCACATGAAACAAGGCCAAGGTCCTCTAAGACATACAACACACCTCCTTGGTTATTTAAACCAAGTGGCTGTCGATATTTATACCAAATCCTATCCAGTTGACGAGTAGATGATTGGCTATTCCCTCTACATGAACCGGTCTTGAGAACCGGGTTGTTGGACTGATATAAATAAATTTTCCTAAGTTATATTTTACAGGTCCTAGAAACGTATGATCTGCGTTCATAAAACTAACACTATCGAACACGACTTATCAACGTATACAATAATTTATTAATTGCCTAAAATAGTTATATTATTATACAGTACACTAAACCTGAGTAACCCTGCTGTTGAGGGTAGTTTATTGAAGATCACAGGCGTAGCGGAGTACGAGTTGAAACAATATTGATTTATTATGATTTATCTGTTAAGTAGATTATTATGCGCTTTAATATGTAGATATGACTGCTGGTGGATATAGTCTCTACTTCGCGATTCTAACTTGACTGGTGGTGGTGCAAATAATGTATAGGTTCGTACTCTAAGATCCTGTGTTCTGTCTATCTAAGCAAATTCGCCGAACGTGACATAAATGACGAGTCAATAATCTGAAAATCGTAACAGACACCCAAGATAATGATGGAGCGACCGGGTTGGAGAAGATTTTAAGCTTCTACTACCAATTATTAGGGATACAGAAGGCATATATATAGGCGATGAGACCATAGAAGAGGCAGTAGTTAATTGCTCTAACTGGCCTCGACTAAGTCAAATATATATGCATATATTTTTTTTTATTATTTTAAAACAGCCACAACAAGAAAGATTATTGGCTTACAAAAAAAAGAAAGGTTTACATGTTTTACATTTTAGTACAGCAATATATATATATATATTGACATATAATTTTGCATGTTAGCAATTTTACTTACTAAATTAATTATAAAAAAAAAAAAAAAATGTATCTTAGAACTAATATTTACAAAATCTAATATTGTTTATTATTTTATAACTATTTGTATCTTGTATCTAGTTGCTATTTATTCAAAATTCTTACCCATTATTGAACGCAATAGTAGGTACCTACATTATAGCATCGCCAACAATTATTTTGGACACAATAAATGGGGGGGGAGGAGATGAAAAATGTAAATGATAAAATTGGAGTTCCCCCGAATTCACCCCTCCACCGCCACGACGACCGCAGCCTAGGTGACAAAACTATACTGCAGCATTGGATTCGTGCACATCTACAGCTATTTCAAAATTTGGACTACCCCCGGTGTAGCAGCGTTCGTATATAGTTACCTATACTTATATTGTGTGTATACAAATTTTGGGCCCAAACTATGATGTCCACGATAATATTCCGGGCGTCGCGTGTTCCTCGAATACGTGCTGCAGATTAAAACGTACGTACGCATCGCATATATTGTATTGTGCGGCACATTGTCGGGGTACATAATATTATAATATTATATAATGTTATATATAGGTACAGGACGGAGACGGATGTGGCGGGTCGCGGAGCTGGCTCGTGATCTGCTGTGCGCCCGCGCCCGATAACCTCGAAAAAGGGGGGGACGAATGCACATATGCACACCTCCCCGGCGGAGCCGCTAGTCGCTACGCGCTCGCGTTAATTACACACGCACACACGAAGGAACCGAAACAGACATCACGTCCGCGATTATTGTGTGAGCGAATAATATTATGATAATGTTGGCGCGTTTAATAAACGCCGAGCGAGCGGCGGAAGAATATTCATATGTTAATGATAATTCGCAGAGCCCACGCACACACATAACGGACGGGCTGCAGAGGGATTTATGATTATTCAAAGGCTCATCTCATTGTGGTGTAATCAACCGGGCGTCGGCGTATAGTCGACCCTTTCGGCACAAGCAGCTCGGCAATCAGCGGTGAAGGTGGCAAAAACGGCCGCCACCGCAATCGCAAGGGAAATTAGCGGATTGAAAGTTGCCGCCGAGTGTATATTATATTCTAACGAGCCGACGGCCCCAGAGGGCATGACCGCTTTTGTTGCAATTATAACATCATCATCATCGTCCTCATCACCGCCGACGCAGTCATCGTTATTGTTATTAAATTGTTGCTTTATAATATGCCCATACCTACCTACAGCTTGCATCATTATTATCCGTCCTGGTGGAATTATAATCAAACTATCCGTCGTGTCCCACCGCCACCGCCTCGAACACTGACCATATCACTATTCACTACTACTGTGGCGGTGTAATATCCACCTAAATTATGTATAATATTATTAAATTATAATTCATGATACTACGATACTAGCCATTGTTAATTTCACAGACCGCCCACACATAACCTATAATACGAGGGCTGTGCCTATATCACACGCATATATACGTGTACTCAAATCGTCTAATAGTTGACCTATAGTCTACAAAAGTATAATATTATAATAAAACATTTTAATAATAATATAATAATGAGAAAGGGAAATATGAAATTTCGTTTGATTGGAAAAAAATAACCTGATTTGTGTTAGTAGGTTCTTTTAGGATATTTATGATTGATATTTATAACAACTCAATCTAAATTGTATTAGTTTGTTGTACCGAGTTCAGAGTTGTAAACGGTAAGAAAATTATTGGACATAAATAGTTGACAAAATATATGATGTGTGTTATAAAATTATACTATCCTATATATTACACCAATAAAATAGGTTTTTTTTTTTGTGTAAAATATTATATTATATAATTTTAAAATCCGTTTGTGTAGTATAATAGTCTAGAATCTGATGAATCTTAGTCTGATGCACTAAGAAATATAGGTATACCTATATAAATATATCTGAATATCTGATAATTAATAATAATTGTCGGAAGAAAAAACGTGTTAAATGATGTAATTTATTAGTTATATTGGAAATCAAAAAGTTTCTTTGAATAATCATAAAAATATATTATAATTATATTTTCTAAATCGTGATTATACTTTAGATAGGTACCAACTATTGCATTGATCGAAAACATTACGTTCAATTCTATGGTTCGTTAAATTTAAACGAAAACACAACTTGAGCTTGGTTTTAATAACACATTCAATACAAAAGAAAGTGTTCATACACTGCATAGCAAATAAATGTATTAATCACTTACGAGATAAATATATAAATATACAATAATCATAAAAGTTTTAATTTATATTATACGCAGCAGTACAGGACAAAACAGTTTAATATTTTTTTTTTATAATCATCGTATTGTATACATTTAATTTATTTTTATTATATTATTTTACCGATCAACTTTGCCATTATATAGTTAAAAAACATTAATCCCGATGAGGTAGTATTATTGAAATGTCATACAAACATTTATGTCTTGGTCAATACGAAGTTGAAGGGACCACCCAAAAATATCGAGTTATCCAAGGCTAATACGATAATATGAAATTCTAGGAACCGTGAAAAAGTTCAAGGTATCGACGATTTCGAGTTGAAAAGTTCGACTGTACCACGTCAGTAGTCATTAAAATAAAAAAATATGTTAGATTATAATGTACAACTCATGTAAATAATTTGTCATTTTAATTACTAAAACATAATATCCGTCCAATGACCGTTGATGGAGCTGACTTATTTAGTAATAAAAAATAATAAAAAAATGTTGATAGACCAAATATTCATAAAGTACATTACATAGAATCATAGAAAACATTTTTACGTCTCGTGAAATAAAATATTGAAGTGTATTAGGTAGGCAGTTACACCCGATTTTAAAATATATACAGTATCGTAAACGTTAGTTTTTATACTAATGGAAGTATATTTTATTTAAAATAAAATTTTAATCCAAATAACTAATCGAATACTATATAGTAATATAAAGTGCAGCTCGCGTTTGGTAACATTTCACTCTCAATCGTCATTGTTCGTCGATACGATAGGTTCGGTGAACATAATATAATATTATATCACATTTTGCGTAATTATATATATATTTTAATAATTTAATATGAACTGTGCATTTTTATTTGATGATTGTAAATCGTATTAGTCCACAATAATGTTTTGTTTATTTTAATTTCATCGTTTATTTTGATCGCAAAGGAAAAAGGAAAAAAAGAAGTAATTCCTGCAACGTTCCGTCACAAAAGGATAATATCCTGCGCCAATCAACGGACCGTGAAAAGGCTCGAGGCGGAGGTGAATTCCATTAATTTTATGGATTTATCATTATAATATATTGTATAGGCTTGATTCGCTTGATTTTTTTAGTTTTGCCGTCGCCGCGACCGTTACATCCGAAATGAACTTTTCCATTAATAAATATTAACGTTACTTTTTTTTACCGTATTTTATATGTATACACAATTTTAATTTGGATTCCAAAACAGACTGTACGTTGTTTTTTGATTAAAAAAAAAATACCAAGCGTTCTGTTTTTCTGCACGACCGAATGATAATGGCTTTTCCCTTCCGACCTTTATAAAGGCAATATGCGAATCGAGTCCAAAGGGTCTTCTGCACCGGTTGAGCCTTTCGGGACTATTTTTTTTTAAATGTACACAACCAAATTAATGTTTTTGCCCACGGGAAGTATTTGTGTTCATTTCGACCGCGGGAATACCTCAACCAATATATCGCTTATGCGAAGTATTAAAAATAACCAAATTTCAGTTAAACTTCAGTTAAACTTCTCTCATCATACGAAAATTATTTGAATTTATAAGATACAGTGATACACGCACTGGCTAGCTCTTTATAACTTATTTATACTTGGGTTTTCTTCGGTATATGTGGGTAAGCGTATTCAAAATTTATATAGTTGGAAAAAATGGACAATAGAGATTGCAGTAAAGAGAATATTATAGAAAGGTACGTAGGTACTTTTACCTTTTTATTGAAAAAAAAAATTAATTATTTATACAATAACAGTAACTACACACACTTTTAAAAATTAGTTTATTAAAATGCAACGAAATTTCTATTACTATAATGTAGAAACCAATCAATAGTATTATAGATTGAGTTACCTAACACCTAATTACGAAAATATAAAACCAAACATTAATATAACATCAAAGCCTATGACCAAAACAAAGAATTTAATATTTAAGATAACCAACTTATAAATTATAACCGTGGTGTACCTACACAGTTTGAAAACGACGGTCGTGTTGCATTTAAAATATATTATTATTTATTATATTCGTGTGAAATTAAGTGGGGAACTCATTATTCGTTGTGCCAGGCACAAATACATGTATAAAATTCTAAATAAAAAATTCCCTTAATCATATTTTTTAATTCTTTATCTTTTATTTATACATTTTATATACTGTATTTTTCATTTGTATTTACTTTCTGATATTGTACACAAGAATAACTTTAAGTCGTGAAACTGTATAGACTTTTGCCTCCTCCACAAGCTTAGGATTTTTGAGACAAACATGTTCACATAATATATTGTAATAATAATTGTACATTGTTTTTGATATAATCAAGTCTTTATATCTAAAAACACGCTCGGTATTAATGTATTAATTACATGTCCACAATAATAGTAATAAATAACACATTTCGATAGATACAATAGATCAGTACCTATAGTTATAATATATATATATTTATTTATTTTATCTAAAAACTTAATAACCTTCGAATGCTAGTGTAGCTATGTGGTCGTGATTATACTTTATATATTGTAAGTAATAATATATTATATTATATCCATATAATGCTTGTATATTATGCAAATTACCATTATTATCGTATATTATAATGGAGTTAAACGTCCGCGTGTCCGCTGCTGTGGAAGTGTCTCTGGGGTAATCGGGACACAATAGGTGTAAATTTTTTGCTGCAGCCGGAGGTTGGAGACCACGATTTACGGAGTAAAGTTCCAAGTCCATTTTTTTATACTTGAAATTTTACAACATGACTGTCACCGTCATATAGTTACTTTAAAGACTCGACTAACTCGACCGATGAATTACCTAATTTTCACTATACAGGTACATAATATTTTTTTTAGGTTGCGGTTTTTGAATTGTTGTTTTTGAACAATTATCCTGTATCATATTTTCATTTCGATAAAAGTATAATATAGTTTAAAAATATTGCAAAAATTTCTTTTCGGGTTGTAGTTGTAATATTTTTATATATTTTATTCAAATACTATAGTGAGCCACTGCTCTAATGGTGTAAAACGATAACGTGGTGTTTTACTCACGGTGTTCGGAAAAAAAACCCGTCGACGAGTTAATTTTTTCTCAAGCCAAAACGACTTAAAGGGAGTGAGCCGCACAAAGGAGAAGAAAATACCAAACTTCCCGGCGGTGGCACCCTTCGACAAACCACTGTCGTTTATCGCTCTCGCAGTCTCGTCCTGGTCGTAAAACGTATACCCGCCACTCGCGCCCACCCACACAGTTGCACCCGATTCAAGGCGTTTTCGGACCCACTCGAAACGGTTAAATCCGGGCCCTAGCTCGTTTTCAAAGGACGTGATTCCACGCATATATAATAAGAATCCGAAAAATCCTGCACCCGGAACGCGCGTAATTAGCAAATTCCTGTTGTGCGCAAGCGGCACATGGCCTTGGAGCTTTCTGCTGCAGATCTCACGCTCTGCCACCGACTTGGCCGTCTTGTCCTTTGATGTGGCGATTATCGATCTGGTCAGACGTATTTGCGTTTTCCGATTGTACATGAGATATATTACTTAAAATGTGCTAATACCATATTGTAATTATTTACAACTTTCACAATGTGATGTGTGTCCGTCCGCCACCGGCGATCGATCGTGATAATATTATTGCCTATGTATTTCCTATATATCATTTTGGGAGAAAATAATAAATACATAGGTACTTGTTGCATCGTGACACCTCTGACTTGGATATTAACGCTCAAGTGTGGTATAATATATTAATTTTAAAATTTTTTTTTTTAGGCTTATTCGAGGCCATTCAGACCCTCATCACCGCTTCAACTATGCTTATACCTTGCCTCTATGTCAAACGCTAACTGTTCTCCATCCCTGATTCCTTTAGGAGCTTTAGATATTCTCTGACTCAGTCGCTCCACCACTGTCTTGGCCATCCTCATGGTCTTGTTCGATGTGGCTTCCACACTGTAAACCATGTAAACCA